ATGTGGGTGAAACCGCAGGAGGTTCTGCTTGCTAATGCGTTGTGGTAAGTGAGATCATTTGAACTTTATTTCTTGTTTATTATTATTACTATTAGATTTATATTAGTTTTATGTTTGCGCTAATTAATTATAAAAAATCACTTAAAATAAAAAGCCATAAAAAATATTAAATATCGAAAAATAAGAAAGCTATATATGTAAATTATATCCCAGAAGAGTTGAACAGGATATCGTTGATTACATTACTATACTACTGATCAAATAGTATAGGCCAGTGATTCCCAAACTGTGCGCCGTGGCACCCAGCGGAGCCGTGAACTCTTCACAGGGAAGCTGCAAAATATTCGAAGATACGTACGAATAGTCATACTTTTAGGCTCTCCTTTGAATAACAGTCCAAAATAATCTACGCAGAAAGGAAACCCTAACAGAGCCTCATTACGTCCTAGCCTACAAAGATTTAAAATTTGTAGCTCGGAAAATATAAGGAACGAAAAGTATGAGGAAAAGGGCGAAGTCTACTACATACTGACAGTTAAATCCTTTATATGTGAAAATTGTGGCACAGAAGTTGCAAATAGTGCCTAAATATCTGTTCTCTTTGTCTATCCGCCATTTCAACAGGGCGCGGCTTGTCCGCTATTCTCGTTCCGGGCGAGACATAATCAATAATGTGCGTTGTAACGTACGAGCACGTCGCCTCGGGACAACTTCAAACCAGCAGTCTCCTCGGGACAACTTCAAACCAGCAGCCCCCACTATGGCGCTCCACTATCCCGACCACCCCTTGACTGCGGCGAATGCGACCACGCTTGCAGTTGCGACGGAAGAAGTAGCTCTTGAATGTTTTCCTGCAACTATAGTGCCACATCCGAGAGTATCCCCCGCGCCGCTACGCGCAGGGCGGAAGGGGCTAAACTAGATGGCTAGGACTCACGAGCAAAAACAATGGAGGAAGCTGCAGGAGAAGCCGTAGCTGCTGCTCATGAGTCCCAGCCATCTAGTTTAGAGCGGCGCTGGGATACTCTCGGAGGTGGCACTATAGTCGGCGAAAAGTGGTCCGCAACTTACATATAACTGTGGCCCTGCCGTAGGATTGCGCTATCGGGAGTATTCTTGCGTGTCGCTAATTTTTCGTCCGTAGTTAATCCTAGTTTTGCCGCCGTTTAGTCGTCGTAAAAAAGTCCGTTGCCTTTCGCGAAAATGTCGTGCGCAATTAATCCTACTTTTGATGCGGTAGATTCGCCGCAAAAGAAATGCGAATTTTAGATATGAGTGGTGCTCTGTTAGGGTTAACTTTCTGCGTAGATCATTTGGGACCGTTATTCAAAGGAGAGCCTACTTTTACTTAGCTTGTGGCGCCGTAGAAAAATTTTAATTGCAAAAAGGTGTCACGACTAGACTACGAAAGATTTGGGAAACACTGGTATAGGCTATACTACTATAAACTATACTATAGCACCAATAGTAGATCATAGTTATTTGAAAAGTACACTTAAATTATATTACAGCAACATTGTATTATAATTTATATGCTAATAATATTAGTATTATACTTAAAATTTGCAATCTGTAATGTTTTAGTCAGTAAACCTAATATTTATAATACATACGATATTAAATACATTGATATGATACAATTATTACTACAATGTTAACTTTAAAATAAAACAACATCAGTCCTTGCCAAGCAGCAAACATTATGGAGATCCAAAAACATTTCATGCAAAACTAAGATTGGATTGCTCAGAGCATTATCTATTCGTACATTTACATATGGCTATGAAATGGACCTTAACACCTGAATTTGAAAGAAAGATAAAAGCATTAGAAATGCGATGTTTCCGAACAAAATCTTGTTATATCATACAGAGACCGCATTACAAACAAAGAGGTTTGCTATAAAATTAATTATACACTACATTGGCAACTATGAATCCTTTTAACTACAGTGAAAAGGTGAAAAATGCAATGGTAGGGAATGTAATAAGATCTAACGGCCTCTTAAAAACAATACTGCAGGGCTCAGTAGAGGGAAAGAGGAAAAGAGACAAACCAAGAAAGACCTGGTTACAGAAACTGACTGATTATACAGGCCTCAGGCATGCAACTATAAAGTCCATCGCAACTGACTGATAAAGGTGGAGAGAGCTGATTAGACAGTCAACAGAAACTGGTGACTCAATGACACGTATGAGATGATGATGAGTATACTACTGTCTGTAGCTCATGCTTTGCAAATGCGCTTTGTAATGCTGGGGTGCCAGGTTTGATCCCAGCTGCAGGGGATATGGCAGCAGAACGCCTTGCATTGGTTTTGACAGCTGACTGTTCAGTAAGCAGTGGCAAACTACTGAACATAAAATTTTCCTAGAAAAACCACAACAGCCAAAAAAATTGCTGGGGTTGGTTCTGCAATGTCCTGTAAAGGATATACAAATAACTATACTACTGATGACTCCATTACAATGCATAAAGTCCCACTGGCCTGTCCTAATGACCAGCATAAAGTCCCACTGGCCTGTCCTAATGACCAGCATAAAGTCCCACTGGCCTGTCCTAATGACCAGCATAAAGTCCCACTGGCCTGTCCTAATGACCAGCATAAAGTCCCACTGGCCTGTCCTAATGACCAGCATAAAGTCCCACTGGCCTGTCCTAATGACCAGCATAAAGTCCCACTGGCCTGTCCTAATGACCAGCATAAAGTCCCACTGGCCTGTCCTAATGACCAGCATAAAGCAACCATTGTAACTACCACCTCAGCCACTACTGGTGCTACTGGTACTGCTGCTGATGATGATGATGATTGTATCAGCAAAAACATGCAGTATGACTCATTATAAGTTGTACATCAAATAGATCTTCTTCTTCACCGGATGTAAACTGCGGCAGAAAGTTCTGGTTGTTTGTCCACTTCTGGACTGCAGTCTAGTTCCAGAACTCGAGTTTTGCATGCATATCCATTTTACACATCTGGCTTACATGTAGGCAGACTGTTGGTTCCTTTCTTCACAGGCGGATGGATTCTGACTTCGAAAGAACATTATATATATGGTATAGTTTCATCCTCAATGACAATATCATTTACAGAACATTGCTCTCGTCACGGTACACCTGAAATTGTCTCTTTCTCCAGCAAATTCTCCAGCCCTATGTGATTTCACATCTGATGCATTTTTCGTGCCTTATATCCACATTTGTGGAGGTCTGCCTCTGCTTTGTTTTCTGGAAACTGTATCCTCCATCACTGTTCTCTCCAGGCCACCTTGACTGATATAGTAGACTATTACACAATGTGGTGAACTGATGTGTGGCGGGCTGGTTGTTATGAGGACCCTTTGGGAGCGAGTGAACAGTGCCGAGGAACAGATAGAACATTACAATCTGAGGAGAATGGCACTGCAAGGAGTAACAAGGAGATCTGGCCTACTCTCGACACTCAGGATAAAGGCGAGATGGATATACAATCAGACAGTTACTGGTGCCATCAGAATTTTAACTCTTTGCTTGCTGCTGAAGATGGAAATGGAGCACTTATGGGAGTGTCCCAAGTGCTGTGATGTTGATTCTTAATTCAACATTCAACATTCTACACAATGTGTTACCATCCAGATACATTTGAGTTACCATCCAGATACATTTGAGTTACCATCCAGATACATTTGAGTTACCATCCAGATACATTTGAGTAAGCATTGCATGTTGAAGTGACTAACCCCCTCCTCTCCACAAGTCCTGTTATGTATCATATCCTAAATGTATCCTTTGTCGTATCCCAGAAAGTATCAAACAAATACAAGGCTCTGCACTCTGCACTACTAAATAATCAGGGTTACATTAGGTAGGCACGCAAGCAGAGGAACATAACTCCCTCTATATTGCAGTGTGACTCATTGCTTTGTAATGCTGCAGACCAAAAGGAGCTCAGCCCAAAGATCAATAAGTGTGTATGTGGTGGATATTCACATATTATGACTATGCACGTTGTCTGGGGATAGGGTGGCAAGTAGTTAGTGATCTTGCCAGCTAGAACACTGGTCCAGATTCGGTCTCCAATAGTGGAATTGTTATGTTGTTTTTAAATCGTTGGTTCATTGTTTAACAGATTCTGAACAGAACTTAGCTCTTATCACGACATGCCAACAAGCCAATTTTCCCGACTCATAAATATTCATGTCCAGGGTGTTCTTTATATCTTGTATCCACCAGCAAGCCATCTAATCCATCATCATAAACACCAATTATTACATGAACATACAATACCACAAACAAGAACAAGAATATACAAAATCACTTAGCTGAAGTATCACCAAGAGGAATCACAAATCCATCTGGCCAGTTGAATCTCAGACATGTGTGTAACCGCCAGGAGAAAAAATAACTGTGAATGGCAAGGGCAGTAACTCAGAAAGTTTGATAAAATTGTGTTGCGTGTTACATGCCCTAGATGAATTGGAGCCTATTTATCACCCATTCATGTTTTCTCTAAAGCATTCAGACATTTAACATAGCCAGAGTTTTTTTTTTCTGGTTAGCAGGATTGAATTTTTTTTTTGGCTAAACACATAATCATTTAATCAGGGAGGGAAAGAATACAAAAAGAGGAGATGACATCTGGATCAACAGAGCACAAAAAAACGGTTGAAAAGGCTCATTAACAATCTCAGATAAAGTGCTTTTGGTGAAATTCCATAGTAAACACGGCATAAACAGAAGATAGCACTGTAAGAAAATACTGATCTATTGCGTAGTCAGACATGCATTGTGACTTTTGAAATAACCGTGATGCTTTGGGAGCAAAAATAGGAATTGAAAAGTGAGGGACATGAATGAAAGCTATGACATAAGTAAATAGATTGATCAATGTGACAGACTGATAGAGTTGGCTGAATTTCATCATTTAATAATAAGTTACGCTCCGTTAAAATTTATCCTTGATAATTACCGACTAAAAAAACTTGGCAAGAAGCGTTCACAGTTTTTTTTCTGCTTCTTCTACACGGTCACTCCTTGTAAACTCTGGCGGAAAATTCTTGTTGTTCCGCCACTTCTAGACTCTAGTCCTGCTGCAGACCCTGAATGTTGTATGCACATCTGTTTTACAGATGTAACTCGTTTGTTTGGGGACTGTTGGTTCCTTACCTCTCAGGCAAATGCACTCTGGCTTCTAAGGCAGCTGCCAGTTAGTTTGACTGCTATGACATGCCTGGGTAGGCAGTAAGTAAAAGTAAAGTAAAGGACCCTTTTCCACACCTTAAGGCGTATAGGGCATATAGGGCTAGACCCATATTTTTATAGACAAATCGGCACATGATGGGTGATTCGACCTAGGAGCCAAGGTCATTTTTGAAGAAAGTCCGGCTCCGCCAGGAAGCAAACCCATGACCTTCCGATCCGTGGCGAGCGTCTAGCCGCTAGGCCACGGCGACTCCCCTGGGTAGGCAGTGGGTCTGTTCTTGTTTTCCCCACAGTGGGGCCCCAGAACAATTTAAACTGAGTCAGAAAATCTTTTTGGTTTATCTAAGAAGAAAAGACTGGCAACAGAGAATATTGTTAGATAACAAGGATAGAGAACCAAGTTATAGAATAATAACAGTAACAAGAATATAGATTAATGATACTAAGCAGTGATTCTTAGTAAGGAAAGATAATAATGATAGAGACAATGACAGGGAATATAGAGAACAATGATAGAGAATAACAACAGAGAGCAAGATAGAGAACAATGATAGAGAATAACAACAGAGAGCAAGATAGAGAACAATGATAGAGAATAACAACAGAGAGCAAGATAGAGATTAATGATAGAGAGCAATATAGAGAATAATAACAGAGGATAATCTTCTTCTTCGATCCTTTTTTTTCGAAAACTTATATCAGGAGGCCTGTAGCCTTTATGAAAGCTATCGTGCAATCCATATCTTCTTGTGTACCATCATACAGTTTTGTCTTCACTGTGGTTGGAACAGGCCAGATTGCATCTCTGTTGTCAACATACAGTTGACAGTTTTGGAGTGCATGCTCAGCATTTTCAGATGCCACGCGGCAGGGACATGTCTTCATGTTTCCTACACCAAAAAGTTAGAACATATGTTGATGAAGTCTATTGTGCCCAGTCCTTAGTCTGAATGTAATAGATTGTCTCTCTCTTGAGAGGCCGTGAAGCTAATCTTGAGGAGATAATTTTGTGTGTGTGTATCCGGCCACCTTTTTGGATACTAGGTTGTATTGATGTCTTAGTTTCTTGATTGGTCAAGTCACTATTTGGTTGTACCGTGTCACTGTTTTCTTGGTCTACTCATGGTCTTCTATCATTTGATGTTTTTGTATATTTATTGTTTTGTCTCTTTGTTACTTACCTCTTTGAGTCCCACAGGGTTTAGCATCATAGGCCCAAGGGGTAGAAAAGAGAGACATAAAATCAACGCATCATGCGTTCATTGGGCTTCTAGGACGGAAGTTATGAACGTATGATGCGTTCCTTGGGACTCAAAGAAAGATTATTGTGGAAGGAAACCATCTCACTTGTAAACACTTTCCTCATAGTGTTATTTGTACTCTGGTTTCTTCTAGGGTCACAGAGCATGCAAACCGATTCTTTATTCTGCAGCGACGGAAAGGTTTGGGGGGAGGTGGTGGACTTGCTGGTTTGCTGGTGGGGACACTGGACACTGTGCTGGACAATAAAGTAGGTGATGTTCAGTTGATTTTATGTTTGATTTAAAATTTGACTGTCCATGACAATAAAGCATGTAATGTGCACTTGATTCTGTACTTTATCTTATACTGGATGCTGTGCTTCACAGCAAAGTGGGGGATGTGCATTTGCTTCTGTATTTTATCTTTTACTAGCTGTACCCGGCCACGCGTTGCTGTGGCGTAATTTGACTACATGGAAAATAGAGAACATAGAAATGTGTCTTCGCTTCACGCTAGCGATGTACAGAGCAACAGCTAAACCACAGCTAAAAAAACTGGTTACAAAAGTGGTTATTTGGTTATCACATGCTAAAGCTGTTTGTATTTTTATAGGAGACGGAAGTAAAGCTACAACTGTACTTGTAAATAACAAAGTAAGTCGTAAAAAATAGAAAAGCGGAGGTAGCGTTAGTAAAATATAAACAAATTAGGTAATGAGAACTTGAAAATCACGTGTAAAGCTCTTTAAGTTCTCTTAAATTTAAGTCATTACCCCCCTCCCCTCCAATCTTCCACCGACTACTGCTCTCTCCCTCTTCGAAGGATTTGAAAATCACTAACTGGCGATATTTTGTTGTTGCTGTAACTGACATTGACATCCCTGTCCATCTGGACTAAAATAAGGAGCAGGAATTGTAAAAGGTAGTGAATAGGGCTAGTGAAATATTTACCACATCATCCTTCAAGTACCAGTACAACTACTAAAATAATGTCACTGCTATCTGTGTTACCATCGGAGTAGACAGAGAGTCATGAGCCAGAAGATTTGGTTCCGTATGGCTAGTGCTGTCGCCACAGACTGGTCAGGTTAGGATGTATAATTTCACTTGCCGACAGACGAACGCCATAACCTTACCGGCGGTCTTCACATGAGAGCACTATGGTGTAACAGCCCAACCACAACTATTACTGCTGCTGCTACTTTAAGTGGGTAAAGCAGTTACTGTGACTTAAAGCTCTCTCAGTTAATAGTTTGCCCCCCCCCCCCCCCCCCCCCCCCCCAAATTCACCGACAACTCTTTCCCACATTGAAGTAGTTGGGAGGAAAAAAAACAACACTTGAAAAGCAAATGAACACAGGAAAAAAACACCATAATTAGGAAATGAACGCCATTGTAAACAGCACAGCTTAAAATTCCAACACAGATGAAAGAACTAAATCTAAAGGAAAATAAATGAAAATCTATAAAATTTCAGCGTAACCATGCAATCGGAAAGTTTAACAATGCAATCATAAGTATGCGAAATGGTCAAATTTAATTATCAAATGGTTTACCCATTTACTGGTTTTTTTTTTTTTTTTAATATTAAGGCAACATGGCTAGTGCTGTCACCACGACAGAGCAGATGAGGATATTATTTTAGTCCGGGGTAAAAAAAAAATTAACTACTGCGGATTCGAACCCAGGTCTACCGCACTTGAACCCAGTGTTCTAACCATTCAACCAAGCAGCCACTTAATCGGAACAACGAAAAGAGAACACAACTATTAGACATATGTGTCCCTACCACTGTGTCGCGATTAAAACACAATTCAAAACCGCAGGCAATTGTTTTCTCGTAGACAGATACTCCAGATATATTAATGAAATAGAAATCGCACGTGTCTAACACGGTTAATGAAGTTAATGTCGCTGTCACTGTCTCCCCCGACGTCGAGATAGTCCTCGATTGCCCCCCCCCCCCTCGAAGGTTGTTTGAAAAAAACAGAAAATAGAAATCGTGTTTGATATGGTTATTGTGGCAAATATAGAGATAGTCTTGTTTGCTGTACCACGACCTACTCTATGTATTAGTATTAGAGAAGGCGTTGGCTGCACGTAACTCGCCGGCGAATGGTAAATACGGCGCATGCGCAATTACTAACGTGGCTATAATTAGAAATCACTAAAGTTATAAATATTAGTTGCGTATATTATTGCATTAATTGTGGTCACCTATCTCTAACAGTGACAGGTTGAATTTCAAACCACGACGGTTCAAAATCCGGTATCACAACAAACATATCCTGAAAATTTCAGCTAAATCGGTTCAGTAGTTTCCGAGTCTATAGGGGTGAAACAAACACACAAACATTGATTTTTATATATATAGATTGGATACTGCTCTGATTTTTATTGCCCACTTTGGCCACTAAGACAACCAGGCATCAGTTATCTTAGAAGTTGTGCACTAGTATACAGCCTTTTCTATCTCATTTAAATGTTGAATTAAGAATCAACATCACAACACTCGGGACACTTCCATAAGTGCTCCATCCCATCTTCAGCAGCAAGGGAAGAGTTCTGTTTTCCGATGGCACCAGTAACCGTCTGATTGTATATCCTTCTCATCGTTCCCCTGAGTGTTGAGCGTCGGTCAGATCCCCTGATAACTCCTCGCAGCGCCATTCTCTTCAGACCGTAATGATCTATCTGCACCCACACTGTTCACTCATTTCCAAAGGACCCTCACAATATCTAGCTTGTCATTCATCAATTCACCACCAAGTGGTGCAGAGCCAGTAGTCTATCTGTCTGCTCATTTCCCAATACACCAGCATGACCTGGAGAAAATATCTAAAGGACCTCTGAAGTGATGCTTGCCACTCTGCACAAAGCGTGCCTGTCTTCACCTTTCTCACCATGCTCTGTGAGTTAGTTACAATCACGGCATGTGTTCAGGGGATTCTCAAACCAGTGAAGGCAGCAGAGACTGCCTCAACCTCCATTCTCAAATCAGACATTGGGATATCATATGCAAGGCTTTAATGCATTTAGTGTCTGCCCCTCAACACAGAGCCGTGTGTATAGATAATCACATCACCTAGGCAGGAATTGTCATGAATCATTTGTTGAACTTCTGCAGCACCAGCTGGCCAGTCTCCACACTCACGACCTAATGTGATTAGAACCCTACACAAGTCTGAAAATATCACCTTGACCACTCCTCTCCTTGCTCACATTTATTAAGCCTGTGCCCATGTTCCACATATTCTAGCTCATTATAAAAACATATTTTCCAAGCTTTCTGTTGACAGTGTATGTGTCTATAATATACTGACATCCAGGGGTTCTTACTGATTGCACTTAAGCTTGAGATTCTACTCAATACTGCAATTTGTGTGTGTGTGTTTGTGTGTGTGTGTGCGCCTACCATTGATCGCAGATTATGTCAGTTCTTTTACTTTTCCTCCCTTCTGTGTAAATGATTTCATATTTATCTAAATGTTTTTACTTTATATCTGACCATTTTATTAATACTTGATAAATTAACTATATCAATTTCTTTCTTGAAAAAATAATGTTGGTGTTCTTCTGACTTCTGCCTTTTGTTTGGTTTTATTTCAGTGACATGTGTCTAAAATATAGATTGTGCAAGGAAATGAGTGAGGAGTTTATAATATGTATTGCACACCTGATTGCCTTGGCCGTATATCAGAGTTAAGAAAATATTGAAAATATTTATTCATCTTATATCATCATCATATGCCCAGATGCATAGTTGCTCATGTCGTTCTGAAGATCTCAGTCTCTAGTTTTGTGAATCAAGTCCACGGAGGATATACTTCCATGCCATAATTTCAGGCTGTTTAGAATTGTTTCTCTTGGTTTGCCTAGGTGTCTTCTCCTGTTGATTTATCCAGTTATCACAATGTTCTCCAGTGCCTCTCTTCTCATCACATGACCAAAGAACACTAACTGCCTTTTTATTTTAGTCATATACAGTTTTCTAATTTCAGCAGCCATTTCCAAACAGTGGTTGTTGGTCACTCTGTCCATGATGTCAACAGTATAAATCAATAATACCATGAATGATGGTATAAATATATTGTAGAAATTCCCATATATCATGGATTGCAAGGGTTTGGTTATTTATTTTTTAAAGATATTTTCAAACTCATTGTGAAGGTTTGACAGGAATTAATTAAGAAAAACAATAGCAAAAGTTAGGAACCGTTGTGGTCTAGCGGCTTAACTCTCACCTGTGGATCCAAAGGTCATGGGTTCAGCTCCTGAAAGGGGCCAGACTTTTTTTCATAAATGAACCTGGCTCCCAGGTGGACCCAGCCTTGAGTGGGTACCAGATGGACCCAGCCTTGAGTGGGTACCAGGTGGACCCAGCCTTGAGTGGGTACCAGATGGACCCAGCCTTGAGTGGGTACCAGGTGGACCCAGCTTTGAGTGGCTTCCAGGTGCAGTCCTGGGAAGTAAAGGCGGCCAGCGTGATGTTGACCACATCACCCACCAAGTGCTGTTTGGTCTATAAAATATAGGTCTGGCCCTATATGCCTAATCTGCCCGAAGGTGTGGAAAAGGGTGCTTTACTTTTAATACCAGCAGTGACCATACAAATGTCCTGTTCTTCTTTTACAAATTAAAACATGAAAAAGGAATGCAAATACAGTTTACCTGTACAGGTATGATACACAATACTGTTGGTTTCATAAATAATGAGAGAAAGAATTAGGATCACTACTTTCTTAATCAGTGTCAAAGTTATGATTTTACATTTTTAGTATTCCAATTCATTTGTCTTGGTCTAGAATATGTGAACGCCTAAAACTGTACTTGCCAGTCACAGTACATGGTATGGGTCTAACTTAACCTTTACATTTTCAATGAGTATGTTATTCATTTGCAGACACGGCTGTACAGAATCTTGCATCAGACTGAGGGATCAGATTTAAGCTATTGTGAGTTCTGTGTTATTGGGTCCTTCATACATGCTAATTATTCTCAGTGCATTTTCAAAGTTATTTGTTGTCTGTTTGTTTCCATTTGAAAAAAAAAAAACATTTTAACACATTTTTTTTATTGCAAATGATGATTAGATAATTTTAATGAACAGAAACACTGCTCTTCTGAACCAGCAGCTTCAACATCATGCTTTGTTACCTTTCCTTTGAGTTAACAAAGTGTGCAGAGTTAGGGATCATGCTGCAGGGGCAACATATGATGTCTACAATATTGCCAGAGCTTTGTGCTCTTGAGAGAAAGAACATCATTGCTGGCCTTAATTGGTGTCACCCTGGGCTGGAATTCTCATACCTCCCTATAGCACAGTTAGTGTCACCTTGGGCTAGGATTCTCTTACCTCCCTGTAGAAACTGGAATTCTCATACCTCTCTGTAGCACAATTGGTGTCATCCTGGGCTGGAATTATCATACTTCCCTGTAGCACAATTGGTGTCACCCTGGGCTGGAATTATCATACCTCTCTGTAGCACAATTGGTGTCACCCTGGGCTGGAATTATCATACCTCCCTGTAGCACAATTGGTGTCACCCTGGGCTGGAATTATCATACCTCCCTGTAGCACAATTTAAAACTATCATCTGCAAAGACAAAAGGTGCCCCCCCCCCCCCATGCACATACACACATGCATCCACACACAAATTATAGATAATTTGCAATGTGAGTCCTGTATCTTTTATCATCATGTATTGGTAATAATAATTTGTATTATATAGTCACACACAAAAAGTCAAAAATATTCAACAGTATCACGTAGTTTAGAAGACTGGACAGTAAATAAGCAGCTAGAGCATTGAATCCAGATCACAGAAATGTTAATTTATGGAACAGTAGATTCCAGTACAACCAAAATAAGCACATTTACAGAGACATTCATGAGAAACAGAATGGAAAGAACTATAGTAGAAGAAATCCAAAGAAAAAAGTTAAGTTCTTTGACCATGTAACAAAAATACATCGCATTCAGGAATGTGCGAAGGCCTGACATACCACACCACACAGGCAGCATCTGGTATGGAAATATATATATTTCAACTTTATATATATAATATGTGTGTGCATGTTTGCATATGTTTATTTTTAAGTGTGTGTGTGATGGGTAGAGAGAAAGATGGAGAGTGGAGAGAAAGAAAAAAACTGGAGAAAAAAGTGAGAAAGAGAATTACACACACAAGTGCGCACATACAAACACATATATTTATATACATAGAGAGAGAGAAAGAGAACCATATATATATATATATATATATATATATATATATATATATATATATATATATATATATATATGAGAGAGAGAGAGAGAGGGTGGGGGAGAGGATTAGATAAATGTTTGATGTATTAACGTTAATGTCAACAGCTGTGGCAGAGACTAACAACAAGAAAGATGTCCAGGAGCATTGGGAATGGCTGGAGACAAATGTTGTGAATATTTTAGGTAATCCATAATCTTGTTGGAAATTTAATTTATTCTGTTAAAAATTTACATTAGCCATAGCTATTATGAAAGTTACATGTTATTATGTTAGCATATTATTTTAGCCATGTATTCGTTGAATGTTATATTTATTAGACCAGTATTTTAGCTCAGCCATAGATCCGTTGAAATGTTTACATTATTGTTTCAGTATCTGAGGATAGACAGAATTTCATAAAAATTGAATTACATTTTTTGTGTTGACAATTTAGGTAAGTTTCATGCTTGTAGAAAGTTAATAGAAATATTTATTTTATATTTGAGTTTTTCAGTAGTTAAGTCTAAGATGAGGGGGAATTATACATAATTGGGTCAATAGTTACATCACACTCACACTTATATAATGTGATTCCATAATTTTTTGGGTAACTTTTTTGGTTATCTTCAAATCTGTAGATTATTGTTTTTATGCCAAGATTTAACTAGTGCTTTAAATTTGTAGCAAATGATGTTTTTTTTTGTGCTAACTTGCTTGCATTGACTTGTATGTGGCCGGAGTTTATATTTTTTTCCTTTTTTGTTATTATCAAGTATTTTGTCATATTTTGATTGATAACTAGTCCCACAGCTGTATATACAAGGGTGCTGAATGGTCGTAGATCACAAGGCAGACCACGAAGACGATGGAGAGATAATGTCCAGACAGATCTGCAAACACTTGGTGTCACCACCTGAAAAGAGGCCAACCAGAGAGATGAATGGAGGCAGGTGATATCTGCAGCAGCGAACCTCAGAAGCTCAGAATGCTGAAGAAGAACAACCAGAGAGATAAATGAAGGCGGGTGATATCTGCAGCAGTGAACCTCAAGAGCTCAGAATGCTGAAGAACAACCAGAGAGATGAATGGAGGCGGGTGATATCTGCAACAATGAACCTCAGGAGCTTGGAATGCTGAAGAATAACCAGAGAGATGAATGGAGGCGGGTGATATCTGCAACAATGAACCTCCAGAGCTTGGAAAGCTGAAGAAGGCCAACCAGAGAGATGAGTGGAGACAGTTAATATCTGCAGCAATGAACCTCAAGGGCTCGGAATGCTGAAGAACAACCAGAGAGATGAATGGAGGTGGGTGATATCTGCAGCAGTGAACCTCAAGAGCTCAGAATGCTGAAGAACAACCAGAGAGATGAATGGAGGCGGGTGATATCTGCAACAATGAACCTCAGGAGCTTGGAATGCTGAAGAACAACCAGAGAGATGAATGGAGGCGGGTGATATCTGCAACAATGAACCTCCAGAGCTTGGAAAGCTGAAAAAGGCCAACCAGAGAGATGAGTGGAGACAGTTAATATCTGCAGCAATGAACTTCAAGGGCTCAGAATGCTGAAGAACAACCAGAGAGATGAGTGGAGACAGTTAATATCTGCAGCAATGAACTTCAAGGGCTCAGAATGCTGAAGAAGGCCAACCAGAGAGATGAGTGGAGACAGTTAATATCTGCAGCAATGAACTTCAAGGGCTCAGAATGCTGAAGAAGGCCAACCAGAGAGATGTGTGGAGACAGTTAATATCTTCAATAATGAACCTCAGGAGCTCAGAATGCTGAAGAACAACCAGAGAGATGAGTGGAGCCAGGTGATATCTGCAACAAACAACCTTAGGAGCTCAGAATGCTGAAGAAGGCCAACCAGAGAGATGAGTGATATCTGCAACAATGAACCTCAGGAGCTCAGAATGCTGAAGAACAACCAGAGAGATGAGTGGAGCCAGGTGATATCTGCAGCAATGAACCTCAGGAGCTCGGAATGCTGAAGAAGGCCAACCATAGAGATGAGTGGAGGCAGGTGATATCTGCAGCAATGAACCTCAAGGGCTCGGAATGCTGAAGAAGGCCAACCAGAGAGATGAGTGGAGGCAGGTGATATTTGCAGGAATGAACCTCAAGGGCTTGGAATGCTGAAGAAAAAGACAAACCTTTTTGCATCAGCCCAAGACTGTAAAAGTTACATGTTGTTGTATTAATATTTTAAGCCAGTCCCATAATTGTCTAAAGTTATATCTGTATTTAGGCTTTGCCTTATTTTTAGCTCCAACATATTTTCATCAAGTAATTGTGACACTCTACATGATAAACCTGTCTTTGCTTGCATATTTATTTACAGAAACATTTGAAAACAGAGATGAAATTACTGCTTTCATCAAGTGTAAAATTGAAAGTTTAGTTGCCAGTTCTGAGAAAGGTAAACAGTGTATATTTTGATGAAAATAATTTAATTATCTCGTCTTATTCTGAGCACAACAGATGATGAGCAAAGGGATTTTTGTTTCCAATTTCTGATGATCCTAATTGGATTTTTTATTTTTTAAATACAGATTACTCAATAAATTAATAAATTAGAGGAAATGAATTGGACACTTTTCTTATATGACATGAACATATATTGTAAGGGCAGTTACTGTGATATATTTAATTTTTCTTAGTCAAGAAACTTGTGGCAACCTATCAGATATGAAGTCCACTGCAAAAATTACAAAATTACAGTAAAAAGTTTATGGGACATACAGCTCTGCTTCTTTTTTGAGCTCTTGTGGAATTCAGGTGTCCTATGCATAATCATTCCTCTTTAATGTTTTGTCTGACAATTCTATGTTAAGTATTAAGCAGATTTGTTGTGCTTCATGTTGAAATTAAACTGAGCTTGTGGCAGTGTAGACTCTTTCTCTCCACTGTAATGTGGTGATTTGACAAGTTCACAAGGGATGCTGAGAAAGTAGAGAAAGATATGCTTTGTTTGTGGAGGCAAGCATCGCTTTAGAGGTTCTAAGTTGTTATCGTCCTTTAGATATTTTCTCCAGATTATGCAGGTATGTTGTTAGATATTTTCTCCAGGGTATGCAGGTATGTTGTTAGATATTTTCTCCAGGGTATGCAGGTATATTGTGAAAAAAGTACACAGGCAGACTGTCTGATGCTAAACCACTTGGTGGTAAACTAATACATGACAAGCTGGATGTGGTCAAGACCATTTGGGAGCAAAATTATTACGGTGTGAAGAAAATGTGCAACAGGGAGTTACTAAGTGATCTGGCCGTCACTCTGCACTCAGAGGAAAGTTAAATGGACATACAATCAAACTGCTGCTAGTACCATTGGAAATAGAACTCTGCTGGCTGCTGAAGATGAGGATGGAGCACATGTGGGAATGTCCTCAGTGCTGTGATATCAGTTCTTGACTCATCTCAGCTGAACTAAACTGTTAATGTGAAACAGTAATTTCTTCTTCTTCTTCTTCTTCATTCATCTTCTTCTTCTTCTTCTTCACTTCCTCTTTTACCGCTGTGGGTGTCGAGGGAGATATAAGGTTCTGTTTCTAGCTCTTCTGGCTGCCTCGACCATAGGCACATCGTGCTGTTGTAGAGTTTCTCTGATGTTATCCTTCCATCTTGTTCTTGGTCTACCCCGTGCTCTACATCCTTCTTCTCTTCCCATGTATGCTTTGTATGGTATGGTGTCACAAGGCATTCTCTCTAAGTGGGCAAACCATTTCACTTGCTGTCTTTGTATGTAATCCAGAATTGGTTCTTCATTCATCAAACTCATTTAAAATAGATCCTTTTTTTTTTCCTGGCATACAAAAATCACAAAGTCTTTTGTTAAACTGCATCTCACTATGGAAGTCTAAGGTTCTTAATGTGTTTGTGTTGTTTATGTAACACCAAGATTTGTGCTTTTAAAAGATTTCTTTTGAAATAGTCGTTAATTGTTAAATTAGGATTTCTGAATTCAGTAATTTTGTTTTATTTCATTTTAATTTAAAGCATCATTTTTAGTCACACACATTCAAATAATTACATTTGTGAAAGAATTTTTTTTTTCTGTTTGAATAGATGAAGAGGTTGAAGATCTTAGAACATCAGCAAAGAAGTTTAGAAAATATTTTAACATGCCAAAGGAGGAGAAGCTTGTCAACCGTAAGCATGCATTGTTTGGTTTAGTAAACATAGTTATTGTTATGTTTCTGTGTTGTATTTTAAACTGACATATACTTTTCATTTTAATCAGTCTGAAACTGATGCATATCTTGCTATCTTTTCTGGGACATCTGTCTAGCTTATAGCACTTAGTTGTTGAGTTGGTCTCTGTGGATTAAAGATGTCATATAGTGGGCAATTTTCTCAGTGGCTGGTTTCATATTTAGTCCTTGGTCTGTTTAACAGTGTTGTCTCAGTGACATACTTTTGATTATCTGTTTGTTGGGTCTGGCAATATGTTTCCATTTTGCAGACCTCATGATAACAGCTCTACTGATTTTGCAATACTGTAATTTACCTGCATATGTCCAGGTTTTTTGTCTGTAAATATTTATAATTCTTTCTTTTTGTGTACTTGTATGTGTTGTTTATAAAGCTAACTAACTTGTTGTCTCTTTTTAAAGTGAAAAGTGCACAGATAAGCTACAGAGATTTTACTGGACATAAATATGTATAAACTAAATTTATAATTACATGTCCTAATGTTATTCATTTAAATAGTCTTGTTTATTATTTAATAATTTATATTAATTGTTTGCAGTAACAAAGTATCATGTTTTAAATTGTAGGTTACTCCTGCAGCTACTGGAAAGGCAACATTCCCCGACAAGGCTGGCTGTACCTGAGCATGAACCATCTGTGTTTTTATTCACTGCTCATGGGTAAAGAGTCTAAAATGATTCTTCGCTGGGCTGATATTACAGTAAGATATTTGAAATTTTTGAATATGGGGTGAGGATGTATGGATATTTTTTATTTCTACCCTGACACGTTTTAGAAATAAAGTCAAACTGCCCTCAGTATAAACTGTTTTTTATCTGTTTTTAATTGGGTGTGGAAGGTTTGTGCACTGAATTCTACTAAAAACATTTTATGTTTAGGAAATATTTTGGTAGCATTTTCACAAAAATCTTCAGTCTTTCAGCTTAATAACTTGCATAACATGACACAACGTTTATACTTAGGCGGTTAGTGCATGTGTGAGTTGTTGGTTTTGTTGGGACTGCTATCTGTTTCACTTTTCATCTTGGAAAACAATAAGCCGGGGGGAAAAGGGGTGACTAAATCAAGCTAATACCAAGAAATTAATCCAATAAACAGCGTGCACAAAACAGACAAATCAGCGTTTTATCGGGAGCCTCTCTCAACATGAACTACAAAACAATAAAAAAGAGTAAAGTACTCCAATTACTAGCGCCCCCTAGGTCAGAGTACTTCACCCTTTGTTACCATTGTGTAGTTCATGTGGAGAAGGGCTCGGGTTTAAATGTCGATTTCTCTGTTTTGTACATGTTGATACCCTTCCACTTTGATTGAGCTTTGTAGTCACAGTTCATTGGATTAATCTTTTTGGCCCAAGCATTTAGTCTGGTTTTGCTGGTGTGGGAACAGATCAGTTGTGGGTTAACGTATTGCCCTGAGTTGGAACCGCAACTAATAGACAATATTTAAACTTCTCCTGTGTGTACCTGATAAAGGCAAAACAAGAGTAGATATTTTCTTGTTGTTAACACGTTCAATATTTAAACACATTCTTGTTCATTATTCCGTCATTTTCTTTTGGGGATTTTCAGAAACTGGAACAGGACAATAATATGTTCTTGCTTCCTGACAGTATTAAAGTCTCCACAAGGGATGCAAGCGTGAGTATTATTAAGTTGTTGTTGCTGTTGTTGTCCTGAGCTTAAATTACTTGTATTTAAACTAGAGAGAATCAACTTCATTGTCTCAGGTTATCCCATATTGCTTGTGTCTCTTTCTGCAAAACAGCTAGTCACATGGGTAAAAAGGCTAAGATGGTTTTTTGAGAGCTGAGAGCATTTCACAAGGTAAAGACTCTGTAGCCTCAGCGATGATCCCCAGGGATCTACTTAAAAATTGTCTTTATCAACTGAATGACATTTCTTTGAAACTAAAACATAACATTCAGAGGACCTTCAGGTGTTTGGAGCATGTAGTGCTAGTGTATACTGTATAGATCAATCAGCACTCGGTGGGTGATGTGGTAAGTTTTACGCCAGCTGAATTTACACTCTGGGACTTTACTTGGTACCCATTTAAGGTATCTTTTTGAAAGTCTGGTTCCACTTGAATTCGAACCCATGACTTCTGGATCTGCAAGCAAGCATCTAGCCACTACACCGTAGAGGCTCTCTACAGTATTAAGTAAAGTAAAGTAATTACTAAAAAACTGAATAGCCAGTATTTCATTAACCATGAGCTTTAATGTCTATTTTCAGCACTATTTCTCTATGCTGCTACACAGCAACGAAACTTTCAGCATCATGGAGCAGCTAGCCAATTTGGCAATGAAACAGTGCGTAATTGTAAGATTAGCCAATGTTAAACACACTGACATGATTCCGAAAGATGTATATACCACATAAACATGTCTGATATCGTTAGCTAATTCTTTTCTGTCCTGTGCAACTATTTTTGAAGTTAAGTACTCTGCTTCAGAAGGGGTTGGCTTCAGAAGGGGTTGATGTAATAAGCAATTGAATGCTAAGAGAAAGTACATGACCTGCTGCAAAATGGTTATGAGAGTAGAAAGCTTTAGAGAACTAGAGGTAATGATTACATAAGAACAAACCTTTACATATGAAGTGTTAACATATTGTAAGACAGAATAAATCTATCCCAGAGATCACTTTAAATATTCTTAAAGATTGAATATACAATATGGTTATTAAAATAAAGTAATACCAATGTCTGGTAGTGGATTGCAGGTTTAGCTTTGTAAATAGTTTGAGTTTTTAAACTGATCATATTTGGAGATACACTGTTTGCTTTCAGTTAAATGTTGTCAATCCAGACGAGTAGTCAAGTTTCCATTTCTTTAATAACTATTTCTTTGAGATAACATGATAGATAATCATTTGGCCACATCCAGTTCCTTATAAAAATCTGCTTTGTTGGGAACTCTAGCATTGGTGGACTTGCACATGGCAGTTTGACTGACTATTTTCTCATATTTTTCCACAATCTCAATCTTATTTTCATTGTCTTCTTCTCTTCTTTCTTTGTTTTCTTGGCACCATGTTGGAAATCATACACAAAATCTCAATAATAGTTTGAATTGTTTGTCCATAAAGCACCCGTGCAAGTGTATGAACTAATTGTATTGTTTAATTACACAAATACCCAAATGGAATAGATACACACACAAAAAGCACATGTAAATGTGCAGCATGCTCACACAAAATGTGCATTGTATTCCATGTAAATGCAACCTAGTAACAAAAAACCCCTGTACATCACGGTTTATATCTTGAATCTGCGGCGATTGTGGCTTAGGCGTTGCGAGTCCGACTCATAATCCAACGTACCCCGATCAAAACCCACTGCTGGCTGCATGGATTTTTTTCATTGTATGGGGCGTCGCAGGTCGACCCAGCCTAAAATGGGTACCAGGATGGCTATCCTGTGAAAGTAAAAACGGCCACACACACACAAAAATGCTGACCACATTACCCATCCAGTGCCGATTGGTATGTAATAATATGGGACGCTCTTCCCATATACCCGATGCGCCTAAGGCGTGAAAAAAGGATCTTTACTTTTATCTTGAATCTAGGTTCATATGTAGAGGTCAAAATAGGATAGGAAAATAGTCAAACAGTTCATATGCATAACAATTTGCAAGTGAGGTTTAGTTTATTTTTAGAACACTGTTACCAAAACATGATGCACTGATGTTATTTTTTATAAAAAATTTTATGTGCCTGAATATAGGGGTAGCCACCATACACATACTTGTTTACATGTCTATATCTATTGCTTTTCTAAAATTCAGCAATGGTTGTGTACACAATTTATCTGTTTTTTGTACAGACTTATGCAGGAGCCAGGTTTTCAGGAGGACAAATCATTAGTGGCCAAACTGAAATCTGTTAAGTAAGCATCTAGTTAGCTCTCTTAAATCTGTGTTTTCTCATGAGCCTTTTTAGCAAAATAATGCTATATGTTGCACTATTAGTTTTCCTTCTTATCTCATTTTGATGCCACTAATCATTGCATACAGTTGTGTGTTATCCACTCCCATAAGGGAGGCAAAGTATGGTGACACTGTAATTTAACATGCATGTAACAAACATTGAAGTAAGACAAGATATTTAATCCCATAGAAATCTGTATCTACAATTCAGCCAAACAAATAAACGAGTCTACAAATGGCTTGGAGTGAGTTGGTTAAAGGCCAGTGTTACATAACTCATCGAGTACCAAACAGATTTGCAGGAAATGCCCATATGTATAAATAACCAATGGGACAGACCTTAAGTATATGTTGTATGCAGGAGGGAAGCTATCTTTTGCATACTTGACAAAGTATCCAGGTGGTAATGATTGATGTTCACGACATGAGGTGTTACACAGTTCAGCACGACACAGCACTCTGCTTACTGATGATAGTATATTTATTTGACTGAAAGTTTGTGCCTACTTGCACGCACACATAGGGATGCAACAATGCACATCACAAGATACAGTGTACCACCTGCTGATGGCATTCAAGGTTTACATAACACAGTATGCTCCGTATCCTTCACATGAAGTCCAAGCGGCGCTCTATTTCCCATTAACCTACTCGGCCTTGCCACAAATAATACTAGAGATATTAATCACTTCCTATGTCTCCATAGTCGAGAGTCAGAACATAAGGAGGAATCCTACACTACGAACTGGCTAGAGACTCCAATCACTGAGTCCCCTCAACACACAGTCGAGAGCCAGAACATCAACGAGAAACGATCATTTCCCCGTTGCAGAATGATTGCTTGCTCGACTGGCGAAGGACTTCACACATCCTCACAGAAAGAAAATCTCCTCTCAACTGACTTATCCTTGAGACCTGCCCAAGCTCATTCCATGAGTCTGAATTCTTCATGCTTCCGCAGATACATGGATCGCACAGAGATTATTCCCGGGACCTAACTCAACTCATGCTGACCCTAGCTTTACCTCCGTCTGCTAGGTCTTGCCCGACAAATTCTCCGTCTGAGTTGACTCAGGTACTTTTGACCTTTCTCATGATTTCTCTGGCCAACACCCGTTCTCAATTCAACACAGATTCGACACACAATAATATATTACTTTCAAAGAAGCTAAATACTGTGAAAGCCAGATTTTCTTAGTATGCTCTTGTCAAATGTGAAAAATAGAAGAGCATTTTACATGTTGGGTGAGATTCACTGAAATCCTAATTATGCATCATATGTTGTTTGGGACTGAAAGAGTAGAGAGAGAAAACAAGAGACAGCACATGAAGATGTACTGTGCACATAGTGCATAAATACAAATGTTTGCATTAGGCAACAAAACATAAATATTTTGTACATACAGCATAGACTACCATGTGTCATTTTAGGAGGAAAAAAATGATTTGTATATAGAATATAAAACTTGTAATAGAAACAAAGTAAAACAGCTTTTATATACAGAACATAAAACAAATGTCTCGTTTTATCAATTGGCAACTAAATTAATTTTGTATATTGAGCTACGTTTATTTATTATTTATACAGCATGTCTACAGCAGTTTATTGTTCTTCTTGTTCACAAATTATCACTGATGAATGGTAGAATTGTTAGCCCTTTTTAAAATGGGGGGGGGGGGGTGGATGTGGGGTGGGGGGAGAGAACAAGTTTGGTCTCTTTTATATAGCTTATATGATTTCTTTCATACCAGTATGGCTTTGTTTGTGGAAGTGTCCGAGCAACAGTCAGACTTGTGTAGGGTACTAATCACATTGAGTTTGAGCATAGGGATTGGCTAGCAGGTGCTGCAGAATCAGAAGTTCAAAAAATGATTCATGACAATTTCCACCCAGACGATGTGATTATCTATACAGATGACTGTGTTGAGATGCAGAGGAAACCCATTGGAGTTCTTAACTCTTTCAGGCCCATGAATTTTGACAGACTTGGCCCACATTAATTTCCCTTTACAAAAATGGCAGAGGGGTGGGTTTACAAGAAAGGCTGTAGAGATTGTAATATACTTCTAATCCCTATAAAAGTATATATTTCTTAAAAGAGAAATGAATGTACTTTTTGAATCTGATGATAAGTGTTTGTTTGATTTTGTTATAGTTAGTGGAAAAAAAGAATTCAGCAGGTGTTAATTTCACAAGGACAACATTTCACAAAAAAATTCTTCACTTACCATGGTTTTGCAGCCACAAGAATAGTAAATATCCAAATTTGAGAACAAAAATTCAAAGTTTGTTCAATTTCCTAACATATTCTAAAGTTATGATAACTTTCTGGGTTAGTTTATCACTCAGGGGCTCTTAGTTCCCACTGAGTGCTAAGCAAAATTTCAGAGAAAAAATGGCAGAAAAATGAGCCATAACACACACACACTATTTACTATTGACTTTGTACAGTTATTTACAGACTGTAGCTGCGATGATTTCAATGTAGCTTAGCCATAGAATAGTACTATCTCTTTGTTTAGAGCACTTTCCTTCTCTTACACCATAAATACGGTAGTAAGGGACATTGTCTGTGTAATAAACTCGTCAGAATCGCTAGATTCCGAACAGCTGAAAGACGTATTCTGCGACCTGTTTTTGTGGTTAGAACATTGGTATTCAGTGCACTCAAAAACGAACTTAGAAAATGAACTGTAAAAAAAAAATTTATGTTTTTTTTCTCTCAAATTATCCACGTGTGGTTTAGTCCAAGAAATGAAACTAAAAGGATTTCGGCAGAGTGACTTTCCCTGATTAGGTTATTCGTACCTCCAAACATTAGAAACTAGTACGAACGCGCGTGGGAAGCAAAATGTAAGAGATACACAAGTGACGATGACACCGTTGTTTGGGCAGAACGAAACTTCTCAAACTACGCTCACACCATTGTTTGGGCCTTAAAGAGTTAAGTGAATGGATGTCGCTTAGTGCAATAAAGCCTGGTATATGACACCATATAGGGCTGTGAATCCTGGACAATTGGTAGGCAGGCCAAACAATTTCTTCAGGCCTCAGAGATGCGGTTTTACAGAAGAATGCTTAGAATACCTTGGACAGCCAAAAAGAGCAACCAAGAGGTTTTAAAAGAGGCGGGAGCATGAAGACAACTTATCACTGACATCAGAAGGAGACAGTCATCATTTTTTGGCCATGTTATGAGAAGAGGGAAAATAGAACATGTTGTGACTACTGGAAAGATCTGTGGAAGGAGGGATAGAGGAAGACAATGAGAGAAAATTCTTGACAGTCTTGTTGCATGGCATGGAGGTGTGTCGGCACATGAACTGATACATGCTGCAGGAGATCGTAGATTTTGGAGAGGCATGATCGCCCACGCCAGTCGGCAAGGCACCTGATGATGATGATATGACACCACAACATCTAGTTTGAGAATGGAGATGGAAGCAGTCACTGCAGCTGTCTGCTGACTGGAGAACTAGCTGTACACACATATCATAACAGTAACTAATCTCACAGAGCATGTTGAAAAAGATGGAGACAGACTTGCACAGTTGCAAATTGCTTCATAGGTCCTGGTTAGTTAGCATGGATACTTTCTAGAGGGAATGTCAGTGTGTTGGAAAGCAAATAAGCAGATAGACTAGCTGGTTCAGTGCCACTTGGTGGTGAACTGATGCATGACAAGCTATTCGTTGTAAGAGTCCAAGGTCTGAGCAGAAGGGTGCTGTGAGGAATGACTAGGGGATCTGGCCAACATTCAAATCTCTAGTGAAAAGCCAGATGAATGCACAATCAGACTGTTAGTGGTACTATCAGAATTGAGACTCTGCTCTTGCTGCTAAAGATAGGGATGGAGTGCTTGTGGGAATGTCCCGAGTGCTATGATGTAGATTCCTAATTCAACACTGGCTCTGGTATCAACCCAGAGTAATAAAAATGAGTACCACTTTACTTTACAGCTTTATGTTAAGAAAATATTTTTTTTAAACGGGCCATTTAACAGATTTAAAAAATTGTTTCAGAAAGAGACGAAGGATATCTATACTGAGGAGAGACTTGGATGCTAAAGCACGCAGTGAAAAATTCAGGTATGACTACTTCTTCTTCTCGTTTTCCAGTCACTTCAGCAAAGTGTTGATTGGGCAATGTGCTCATTTGGTTCCTTCAGCTTGGCACTCTCTGGTAGTTGGTATCAGGACATTTGTGTCAGACAGCCAAACCATCTCAGCTGTTGTATTGTAATGTGTTGTATAGCTGGTTGTAGTTCTGCTCATTTCTGTAACTTTATTACATTTTGTTACCCCGGGTTAGTGTCACAACACTAAATGTGGAGAGAATCTACACTGTTTTTGCCACAAGGAACACAGAGGCATCTTTGTTTCACATCAACATTAAACAGCATGCATCCACCCTACCTTGTAACACAGTGTCAGTTGTAACATCAAACAGCATGCATCCACCCTACTTTGTAACACAGTGTCAGATGTAACATCAAACAGCATGCATCCACCCTACCTTGTAACACAGTGTCAGATGTAACATCAAACAGCATGCATCCACCCTACCTTGTAACACAGTGTCAGATGTAACATCAAACAGCATGCATCCACCCTACTTTGTAACACAGTGTCAGATGTAACATCAAACAGCATGCATCCACCCTACTTTGTAACACAGTGTCAGATGTAACATCAAACAGCATGCATCCACCCTACTTTGTAACACAGTGTCAGATGTAACATCAAACAGCATGCATCCATCCTACTTTGTAAAACAGTGTCAGATGTAACATCAAACAGCATGCATCCACCCTACCTTGTAACACAGTGTCAGATGTAACATCAAACAGCATGCATCCACCCTACCTTGTAACACAGTGTCAGATGTAACATTAAACAGCATGCATCCATCTTACTTTGTAACACAGTGTCAGATGTAACATCAAACAGCATGCATCCACCCTACTTTGTAACACAGTGTCAGATGTAACATCAAACAGCATGCATCCACCCTACCTTGTAACACAGTGTCAGATGTAACATCAAACAGCATGCATCCACCCTACCTTGTAACACAGTGTCAGATGTAACATCAAACAGCATGCATCCACCCTACCTTGTAACACAGTGTCAGTTGTAACATCAAACAGCATGCATCCACCCTACTTTGTAACACAGTGTCAGATGTAACATTAAACAGCATGCATCCACCCTACCTTGTAACACAGTGTCAGATGTAACATCAAACAGCATGCATCCACCCTACCTTGTAACACAGTGTCAGATGTAACATTAAACAGCATGCATCCACCCTACTTTGTAACACAGTGTCAGATGTAACATTAAACAGCATGCATCCACCCTACTTTGTAACACAGTGTCAGATGTAACATCAAACAGCATGCATCCACCCTACCTTGTAACACAGTGTCAGATGTAACATCAAACAGCATGCATCCACCCTACTTTGTAACACAGTGTCAGATGTAACATCAAACAGCATGCATCCACCCTACCTTGTAACACAGTGTCAGATGTAACATCAAACAGCATGCATCCACCCTACTTTGTAACACAGTGTCAGATGTAACATCAAACAGAACAAGTCCACTCTATTTTGTTACATAATAATGTTAGATGTAACATCAAATCAATAAAGAATATGTATTGGCAGCAAACAGCAGCTATAAGAATTAACAACTGTTTAGATACATTTCAAAGCATAAAGAGGGGCGTACGACAAGGATGTGTACTTTCACCTGATTTGTTTTCAATATACAGTGAATATATTATGAGATCTTTAATTGATATACCCGGAATCGTGGTTGGTGGACACAATATAAACAATTTACGTTATGCTGATGACACAGTCTTGATAGCAACAAGTCAGAAAGAATTACAGGAAATGATAGACATTGTGGTGTTAGAAAGTGGAAGAATGGGCCTCAGTTTGAATAATAAGAAGACAGAAGTAATGGTGGTATCAAAGAAACAAATTATTCCTAAATGTGTAATAAAAGTCAATGGTGTTATTTTAAGACAAGTACAGAAATTTAAGTATCTGGGCACATGGATAACATCAGATGGAAGATGCATAACTGAAATAAGAAACAGAATTGGACAGGCAAAAACTGCATTTTATAAAATGAAAAACATCTTGTGCAATATATCCTTGTCATTGAGAGTTAGAAAAAGAATTCTTGCTTGCTACATACATCCAGTTTTAACATATGGATGTGAATCCTGGACAATCGGTAGGCAGGCCAAACAATTTTTGGAGGCCTCAGAGATGTGGTTTTACAGAAGAATGCTTAGAATACCTTGGACAGCCAAAAAGAGCAACCAAGAGGTTTTAAAAGAGGCGGGAGCCCAAAGACAAATTATTACTGACATCAGAAGGAGACAGTCATCATTTTTCGGCCATGTTATGAGAAGAGGGAAAATAGAACATGTTGTGATCACTGGAAAGATCTGTGGAAGGAGGGATAGAGGAAGACAACAAGAGAAGATGCTTGACAGTCTTGTTGCATGGCATGGAGGTGTGCCGGCACACGAACTGATACATGCTGCAGGAGATCGCGGATTATGGAGAGGCATGATCGCCCACGCCAGTCGGCAAGGCACCTGATAATGATGATGAACATCAAACAGAACTAATCCACTCGATTTTGTAACATAATAATGTTAGATGCAACATTAAACAGGAATTATTTTGGCACCTGTTTTCAACAATAGTTCAAAAAGAACTACAGCTGTATATTCCATGTGAAAAACAATCCTTTGGTAATATTAAACTCACATAATTAGTAGAATTCGTTTTTTGTGCTGATGATTCTGCAAACCTTATACACAAATGTGGATTTGGTTTCATGTCTCAGTGACTACAGAGTGAGTGTTGTCTTCATCTCATGTCTCAATGACTACAGAGTGAGTGTTGTCTTCATCTCATGTCTCAATGACTACAGAGTGAGTGTTGTCTTCATCTCATGTCTCAGTGACTACAGAGTGAGTGTTGTCTTCATCTCATGTCTCAGTGACTACAGAGTGAGTGTTGTCTTCATCTCATGTCTCAATGACTACAGAGTGAGTGTTGTCTTCATCTCATGTCTCAGTGACTACAGAGTGAGTGTTGTCTTCATCTCATGTCTTAATGACTACAGAGTGAGTGTTGTCTTCATCTCATGTCTCAGTGACTACAGAGTGAGTGTTGTCTTCATCTCATGTCTCAATGACTACAGAGTGAGTGTTGTCTTCATCTCATGTCTCAATGACTACAGAGTGAGTGTTGTCTTCATCTCATGTCTCAATGACTACAGAGTGAGCGTTGTCTTCATCTCATGTCTCAATGACTACAGAGTGAGTGTTGTCTTCATCTCATGTCTCAATGACTACAGAGTGAGTGTTGTCTTCATCTCATGTCTCAATGACTACAGAGTGAGTGTTGTCTTCATCTCATGTCTCTGTGACTACAGAGTGAGTGTTGTCTTCATCTCATGTCTCAGTGACTACAGAGTGAGTGTTGTCTTCATCTCATGTCTCAATGACTACAGAGTGAGTGTTGTCTTCATCTCATGTCTCAATGACTACAGAGTGAGTGTTGTCTTCATCTCATGTCTCAATGACTACAGAGTGAGTGTTGGCTTCATCTCATGTCTCAGTGACTACAGAGTGAGTGTTGTCTTCATCTCATGTCTCAATGACTACAGAGTGAGTGTTGTCTTCATCTCATGTCTCAATGACTACAGAGTGAGTGTTGTCTTCATCTCATGTCTCAATGACTACAGAGTGAGTGTTGTCTTCATCTCATGTCTCAGTGACTACAGAGTGAGTGTTGTCTTCATCTCATGTCTCAGTGACTACAGAGTGAGTGTTGTCTTCATCTCATGTCTCAATGACTACAGAGTGAGTGTTGTCTTCATCTCATGTCTCAATGACTACAGAGTGAGTGTTGTCTTCATCTCATGTCTCAATGACTACAGAGTGAGTGTTGTCTTCATCTCATGTCTCAATGACTACAGAGTGAGTGTTGTCTTCATCTCATGTCTCAGTGACTACAGAGTGAGTGTTGTCTTCATCTCATGTCTCAGTGACTACAGAGTGAGTGTTGTCTTCATCTCATGTCTCAATGACTACAGAGTGAGTGTTGTCTTCATCTCATGTCTCAATGACTACAGAGTGAGTGTTGTCTTCATCTCATGTCTCAATGACTACAGAGTGAGTGTTGTCTTCATCTCATGTCTCAATGACTACAGAGTGAGTGTTGTCTTCATCTCATGTCTCAGTGACTACAGAGTGAGTGTTGTCTTCATCTCATGTCTCAATGACTACAGAGTGAGTGTTGTCTTCATCTCATGTCTCAATGACTACAGAGTGAGTGTTGTCTTCATCTCATGTCTCAGTGACTACAGAGTGAGTGTTGTCTTCATCTCATGTCTCAATGACTACAGAGTGAGTGTTGTCTTCATCTCATGTCTCAATGACTACAGAGTGAGTGTTGTCTTCATCTCATGTCTCAATGACTACAGAGTGAGTGTTGTCTTCATCTCATGTCTCAATGACTACAGAGTGAGTGTTGTCTTCATCTCATGTCTCAGTGACTACAGAGTGAGTGTTGTCTTCATCTCATGTCTCAGTGACTACAGAGTGAGTGTTGTCTTCATCTCATGTCTCAATGACTACAGAGTGAGTGTTGTCTTCATCTCATGTCTCAATGACTACAGAGTGAGTGTTGTCTTCATCTCATGTCTCAATGACTACAGAGTGAGTGTTGTCTTCATCTCATGTCTCAATGACTACAGAGTGAGTGTTGTCTTCATCTCATGTCTCAGTGACTACAGAGTGAGTGTTGTCTTCATCTCATGTCTCAATGACTACAGAGTGAGTGTTGTCTTCATCTCATGTCTCAATGACTACAGAGTGAGTGTTGTCTTCATCTCATGTCTCAGTGACTACAGAGTGAGTGTTGTCTTCATCTCATGTCTCAATGACTACAGAGTGAGTGTTGTTTTAATCTCATGTCTCAGTGACTACAGAGTGAGTGTTGTCTTCATCTCATGTCTCAGTGACTACAGAGTGAGTGTTGTCTTTATCTCATGTCTCAATGACTACAGAGTGAGTGTTGTCTTCATCTCATGTCTCAATGACTACAGAGTGAGTGTTGACTTCATCTCATGTCTCAATGACTACAGAGTGAGTGTTGACTTCATCTCATGTCTCAGTGACTACAGAGTGAGTGTTGACTTCATCTCATGTCTCAGTGACTACTGAGTGAGTGTTGTCTTTATCTCATGTCTCAGTGACTACAGAGTGAGTGTTGTCTTCATCTCATGTCTCAGTGACTACAGAGTGAGTGTTGTCTTCATCTCATGTCTCAATGACTACAGAGTGAGTGTTGTCTTCATCTCATGTCTCAATGACTACAGAGTGAGTGTTGTCTTCATCTCATGTCTCAATGACTACAGAGTGAGTGTTGTCTTCATCTCATGTCTCAATGACTACAGAGTGAGTGTTGTCTTCATCTCATGTCTCAATGACTACAGAGTGAGGGTTGTCTTCATCTCATGTCTCAATGACTACAGAGTGAGTGTTGTCTTCATCTCATGTCTCAATGACTACAGAGTGAGTGTTGTCTTCATCTCATGTCTCAGTGACTACAGAGTGAGTGTTGTCTTCATCTCATCTCAATGACTACAGAGTGAGTGTTGTCTTCATCTCATGTCTCAATGACTACAGAGTGAGTGTTGTCTTCATCTCATGTCTCAGTGACTACAGAGTGAGTGTTGTCTTCATCTCATGTCTCAGTGACTACAGAGTGAGTGTTGTCTTCATCTCATGTCTCGGTGACTACAGAGTGAGTGTTGTCAAGACAGTTCAGACTTAACTAGAAGATTATGGCATTTTTTGTGGTCCTCATTCCAAAATAACATGGCAGTCTTGTTGCCTTGAGACATTATATCTCTGTTGTTGAAAAGATTCCAAGTCAAGAAGATTAACTTCACTGCACTGAGTTTCATCCCATGGGTTGTTCTCTCTCCGAAGAATAGCTGGCCGCCTGCAAGAGCGTTGGACAAAGCATGAAAGCATGAACTCTGTAGCTCCAGTGATGGCCCTCAGGGATCTCTGTAAAAATTACACTTGTGAACAGAATGATGTAGTTCAGGAAATTAACTCATAACCTTCAGAACACAAGACAAATAGTTTAACCCCTTAGCCACTAACACTTCCAATCTCTGTTATTGTGATTTCCCACTTATTAGTTGCAGATTGTAATATGGGCCCCTGTTTGACACTAGTAGCATCATGTTGTCCTAAGCATAGTTCTTACAAGTGTTTCCTGGCTGGTCAAAAGTGGCTTTCTATGCATCAGAAGTGGTGTTAGTTGCCCAAGTAACTGATTTCTCTATCCAGTCTTCTAGGTATGACTAAATTTGAATTTCTTAAATGCTTTAGAAACTACTTGAAGGTGTTATGTTAGTTGCGTATCCTTTACAGGACCCTGCAGAACAAACCCCAACAACCCCTGGCTGTTGTGTGGTTTTTCTAGGCAATTTACATCCAGTAGTTTGCCATTGCTTTCTGGATGGTCGGCTTTCTTGATACCACTGTCAAAACCAACACAAGGCGCATGGCCCGCAGTTGGGATCGAACCCGGCATCCCGGCACTACAAAGCGTTCGCATCGACTTAGCCACAGAGTCGACTTATTATGTTAAGAAATTCAAAATAGTTAAAAATGGACTTTGTTTTGCACACGCATATGAATCAAGAACTATAATACTATGGCAGTGCTACAACAGTGGTCTATGGTAATCTCTGTATTAGATGACTCTTAGAATTTTCTGGAAAATATTTGGTATGAAAAAGTGTCAGAAATGGATCTCGCACCCTAGCTAACTTTACCAGCAAATGTGGCGGCCTACTACTTACACTACCAAAGGCAGTATCTGCTATGGGAATAATATTTTCTTACTTCTTTTGTTTAACTAGGGCTGTTACAGAAATCTGGCAGTCTAGTGAAACTAATACACTTGTGACTTAGGGTAGTTATTTCCAATTTGCGAAGCTACTAAGTTAGGGGATACTGAGTGATCAGGTACTTATGTAACCAGTATGCCATCGCAAGACTCCACATCCATAAACTGACATCAGTGGGAGCTTAGGGGTCTCACAGAATGGCATCCGCTTGGGGTGCTGGAGGTCCAGGTTCAGGTCCCGTTGAAGGCTGGGATTTTTTCATGTGGACTTCTAGTAATTTTCCTCTGGGTAGTGAGATCAGACACCCGTGTGCATTGTCAAAAAGAGTAGCCTAACAGCACTGCAGGCAAAATATGGAGTTAAAAATCTACCCAAAATATTTCAGGTTCCTCACTGGTGCTACGGAGTTCATGCACTGTGATGAGATTCTTCGGACTCAGGCTTAAGTAAAAAATATAAAGGAGCACTTATTTATTACTACCCTTGTGCCATGATTTTGATCCGTTGTTGAAACCTTCAACAACTGATGTCTGCCTGTAAAGACACAGCACCCATGTATCTGCGATGATTACAGTTTTGTAAACTTTTTGTTGTTGCTGGTAACAACATTCTTAACATGTATCTATAATCTTTCACAGGTTGGCCTTCCAGCTGCCAGTGACTGAGAAACTGGACAGTGACATGGAGTGCACATTATGGGCACCTTACAACAAGCAACATATTGGAGGCCGGCTTTACATCTCAAACAACTTCATGTGTTTTGCCAGTAAGGTGAGTGTTCAATGACATCTCAAATAACTTCATGTGTTTTGCCAGTAAGGTGAGTGTTCAATGACATCTCAAATAACTTCATGTGTTTTGCCAGTAAGGTGAGTGTTCAGTGACATTTCAAATAACTTCATGTGTTTTGCCAGTAAGGTGAGTGTTCAGTGAGATTTCAAATAACTTCATGTGTTTTGCCAGTAAGGTGAGTGTTCAATGACATCTCAAATAACTTCATGTGTTTTGCCAGTAAGGTGAGTGTTCAGTGACATTTCAAATAACTTCATGTGTTTTGCCAGTAAGGTGAGTGTTCAGTGACATCCTGTACATTGGCACCCTGAGGCTATTTTACTCATTAACTATAAAACAGTGCACATTTGTTATATTGTTCAACTTGCAGCTGATTGTTTCTTTAACCTTTACTATCCTAAAGTGTTGCTAACTCGGCTTCTTCAGACCTAAAAGTGTATTACTTTAAAATAACTAAAGAGAAAGAAAGTGTTAAAATAAATATTACTTCCTCTCCCCATGTCTTTGAAGAAATATGGATGAATATAGCAAGGTCATGATTCAGCCCAGCACATCAAGACTGGTGAGGAAAGGCTTGGGTCAGTAATGTTTTCTTCACAGATTTCAGGTGTTTCACCAGGCTCCAACCAGAACCCAGGGAACCTCTAGGGAGCAAAGGTTGGGGATGGAAATGTCTTCAGTTTTTTTTTACATAGACATCAGCTATTAAATGATGTTACAGCAGTTTATCAAGTTTGAGATCTTAAAGTTATGTTCTTGTTATGGCTAATGAACAAGCAATTAGAAAGTTGAACTGAATCTCTAGAAATGTGGATGTATAGAATAATAGGTTGTATTTGATGAGGGGGGGAAAAACAGTGATTAGATACAGAGGATCGAAGAGATGGAATGAAAGAAGAATTGATGATAGAAATAACAATTGTTCAAATAAATTTAAAACATGTGAAATTTTTCAGCCATATTAAAAGACATTTTTATGAATACCGTCCTGAAGAAATTAGAATTCTTTGCTGGCTGCTGAAGATGAGGATGGATCACTTATAGTGCTGTAATATCAGTTCTTTAGCTCAACACTGAAGGGAGAGGTTGAAGGTAGGTGAGCAAGAGGTAGGTAGTCATGCAATTGCAAGAACAACATCGGACTATGGGTAAACAACGGTTTCAGGGTGTACGACCACACGGAAATACAGGAATTTTTGAAGATCCATTGCAGTCAACCTTTACAGTGGAGATGGCACATGATTGATTGTCTGACTAAATAAGTTTGTACTTGCTTGTGTACAGGTTGCAGACCTTGTTAAAGTAACTATTCCACTGAGGGATGTTTCTGTTCTGGAAAAGATCGACAACTCAGTGTCTGGAAGTCTCATCAACAAGGCAATATTAGTGACCACAAAGAGTAAGGTGAGCCTGGTGAAATGTGTTACTTCCCTTGTTGTTTAATCTTCTGTTCTGAGGTGTGGAGGTGTCATTATTTTCTTTTGTAATTAAAATAAGAGAACATGCAGCATGATTGGACTGTAGTCAACTTGTGTGTGTGTTTTTTTTTTTTCATCGAACACCGGCTGTGAATTCCAGTGGAAGGTCCCGGTTAATCGTCCGCTTGGACTTTTGGCTTTCACCTGGACCTGATTTTTGCGTGTACAACCGTTTTTCATTTCCCTGCCTCATGGGCAGCTGTACTCCGACTTCGAAGGAAGACGTCAGGCCTATTTCTAGGGTGACTGTGGCCATTGTTTTGTGTGGGTCGAGACGTTGCCTGATTTGTGTGGTGTCCACTTTGTCTCCTTCGCCGCAGGTATTGCCCCCGGAGTACCCCTTTGGGGCAGCCCCCTGTGGAACAGTTGGCCCTCAAGGGAAGGCAGGGGCAGATCATGGGCATTCCCCGCCATCCAAGGAGGCTTCCATGCATGCAGAGCCGGCACATGGCGCTCTGGTTCTGGGCTCACCCAAGGAATCGTCACGTCCTGCACATGCCTGCTTAACCTCACAACCGTATCAGTCCTCCCGCTCGACAGGGGCTGCGCCCTCTGGAAGTCAGCGGGGAGCAGCCCGTGGGTTTTGGACTTTTGTGACCACACAGATAGGTACATTCTTTTTTTTCTTCGTACGATGGATTTCTTTGAAGAGCCGTTAGCCCGACAGAATTTTACATCCTGAATCAGGCATATCGTTATCAGATTTGTCCCAACACTCGGGCGAGTGGGGTCTTTGGGTGTGGACATTCGGTCTTTTTCAGTTCAGTGCAAATTTTGATGGTCAGATTTTGATCCGTATGATCTAGTTTTGTCGGACATTTAGGCTTGGCCATCCGATGGATGGTTGCTGTTGTGGTGTACCAAAGCGCGGTGACGACGACACTGAGGGTTAACCGAGGATGTTCGTGAATGGCCAGCCTATGGATGGTTGCTGTTGTGGTGTATCTCAGCGCGGTGACGACGACACTGAGGGTTAACCGAGGATGTGCAGTGAACCATGTTCTCTTTACTCAGCAGTCTTTTAACCAAGGGTTGTAATTTTGGCTGTACGTTTGGCAAATCTACTCATGTTCCTAATGAGTTTTGATAACATTTTTCACCCAAGCGTTTGGGGGCGGGCTGATGAGAGCCACAAGGACACATCACCTCTGGGGGCCGCCAAACTCCGAGATCCCCTGACAGCTCTGTTAATGCTCATTTGAGACATTATCCGTGGCGCACGACGAGGACGTGCTGTAGGGGTCTTGCGTGAGGTTCCGTACAACCAGGATAGTGAAGGACTGGCGCCCGTGTGACGTACGGAGTATCTCCTTATACACATCATGTTGGACTTAACTTCCCTTCACGCCTGTGACATAAATCACCACGCCACTGTGTGTGTTTGATTGACTGCATCCTTTCAGTCTTTGGTCGCAATGACATGTAGGTTTACAGGTTTTAACTGATACTTCCTTAGATAATGGAGACATTGAGGTTCATTCAGATTTGTAGAGACATGTTCAGGTAGAAATGTGGACACATTTAGATTCTGTGAGAATCACAGAGAATGAGGTTTAATCATAATCATGGAAAATACTTAGGTTCAGTTCAAATAATTTAGGTAAAAAGATTTAATTATAATCAAAGAGACAGTGAAGTTATTCAGATTCAGAGGCTCATATTTGGATGTATCCAGTTCAGTGAAACAATATTTATCTAGGTTTTTTTTTTTAGAAACTGTCTATAACAAAAGTGTATGTTATTTTCTTGTACTGTTTCCATTTTCTTCTTGTACTATTTCCATTACTATTTCCATTTTTTCTTGTATCATTTCCATTTCTTTGCTGTATTATTTATATCTTTTCTAGTACCATTTACATTGGGTTTTTTTTGTATGTTTTAAATAAAAACATTTTCTTGTACTTTGTAAATTAATTCTTGTACTAATCATTTACATTATTTTCCTATTGCTGTCTACTTCTTGGTCTGCCTCATGGTCTACGACCATTCATCTCCCAGGTGTATACAGTTTTCACTTCTCTGTCCTCTGACATTCTCTTCCTATGCTCCAACCATTTCAGCCTATTAGATCTCATGATGCCAGTTATCAATTGTGATTGAAACAGATTATGAATTTCGTTGTTGCTTCTCGCTCTCAGGTCAATTTCACATTTTCGGAATTTCGCAACCGCGACCTGGTGCTTGAGAAGCTGTCTGATTTCATATCCATGCAGCCAATCATACGAAGGTATGTCTATTTACTGTCAGTTATTACATGCAAGTACATACCTTAGGTAAAGAATATTTTCTTTTATTTGATAAAAATGGAAACTATGCCCTTCAACATCTGTTAAAGTCAAAGTGTCTGTCTCAAAACACTAAGATCAAAATATATAAAACATTGATAAGACCAGTCGTTTAATTTAGCTCTGAAACTTAGAGCACAACTAAAAGAGATGAAGTGTTATTACAGGTTTTCGAAAACAGTCTTACGAGGAATCTTTGGACCCAACAAAGATGGAAACAGTGGGGAATGGAGAGTGAGAAGCATCAAGGAAATTCATAATCTGTTTAAATCACAATTGATAACTGTCATCATGAGAGCTAATAGGCTGAAATGGTTGGAGCATAGTGAGAGAATGTCAGAGGACAGAGAAGTGAAAACTGTATACACCAGGGAGATGAATGGTCGTAGGCCATGAGGCAGACCAAGAAGTCAATGGAGAGATGATGTCCAGACAGACCTACAAACACTTGGTGTTACCAACTGGAAATAGAGGGCCAACCAGAGAGAATGGAGGCTGGTGATGTCTGCAGCAGTGAACCTCAAGGGCTGGGAATGCTAAAGAAGTAGAAGAAAAAGAAGTATTTGATACATAGTGCTAGCCACATGTTTTTATTTACCATTTGGTATTTAGAGGATGATGTGTTCAACATCATGCCTTTTGTTTGGTATTGAGAGGATGATGTGGTCAGTATCATGCCTTTTGTTTGGTATTGAGAGGATGGTGTGGTCAGTATCATGATTTCGTTTGGTATTGAGAGGATGATGTGGTCAGTATCATGCCTTTTGTTTTGTGTTGAGAGGATGATGTGTTCAACATCATGCCTTTTGTTTGGTATTGAGAAGATAATGTGGTCAACATCATGCCTTTTGTTTGGTATTGAGAGGATGATGTGGTCAGTATCATGATTTCGTTTGGTATTGAGAGGATGATGTGGTCAGTATCATGCCTTTTGTTTTGTGTTGAGAGGATGATGTGGTCAGTATTATGATTTCGTTTGGTATTGAGAGGATGATGTGGTCAGTATCATGATTTCGTTTGGTATTGAGAAGATGATGTGGTCAGTATCATGCCTTTTGTTTTGTGTTGAGAGGATGATGTGGTCAGTATCATGATTTCGTTTGGTATTGAGAAGATGATGTGGTCAGTATCATGCCTTTTGTTTTGTGTTGAGAGGATGATGTGGTCAGTATTATGATTTCGTTTGGTATTGAGAGGATGATGTGGTCAGTATCATGATTTCGTTTGGTATTGAGAGGATGATGTGGTCAGTATCATGATTTCGTTTGGTATTGAGAGGATGATGTGGTCAGTATCATAATTTCGTTTGGTATTGAGAGGATGATGTGGTCAGTATCATGATTTCGTTTGGTATTGAGAGGATGATGTGGTCAGTATCATGCCTTTTGTTTTGTGTTGAGAGGATGATGTGGTCAGTATTATGATTTCGTTTGGTATTGAGAAGATGATGTGGTCAACATCATGCCTTTTGTTTGGTATTGAGAGGATGATGTGGTCAGTATCATGATTTCGTTTGGTATTGAGAAGATGATGTGGTCAGTATTATGATTTCGTTTGGTATTGAGAAGATGATGTGGTCAACATCATGCCTTTTGTTTGGTATTGAGAAGATGATGTGGTCAGTATCATGATTTCGTTTGGTATTGAGAAGATGATGTGGTCAGTATTATGATTTCGTTTGGTATTGAGAGGATGATGTGGTCAGTATCATGATTTCGTTTGGTATTGAGAGGATGATGTGGTCAGTATCATGATTTCGTTTGGTATTGAGAGGATGATGTGGTCAGTATCATGATTTCGTTTGGTATTGAGAGGATGATGTGGTCAGTATCATGATTTCGTTTGGTATTGAGAGGATGATGTGGTCAGTATCATGCCTTTTGTTTTGTGTTGAGAGGATGATGTGGTCAGTATTATGATTTCGTTTGGTATTGAGAAGATGATGTGGTCAGTATTATGATTTCGTTTGGTATTGAGAAGATGATGTGGTCAACATCATGCCTTTTGTTTGGTATTGAGAGGATGATGTGGTCAGTATCATGATTTTGTTTGGTATTGAGAGGATGATGTGGTCAGTATCATGATTTCGTTTGGTATTGAGAAGATGATGTGGTCAACATCATGCCTTTTGTTTGGTATTGAGAAGATGTTGTGGTCAGTATCATGATTTCGTTTGGTATTGAGAAGATGATGTGGTCAGTATCATGCCTTTTGTTTTGTGTTGAGAGGATGATGTGGTCAGTATCATGATTTCGTTTGGTATTGAGAAGATGATGTGGTCAGTATCATGATTTCGTTTGGTATTGAGAAGATGATGTGGTCAGTATCATGCCTTTTGTTTTGTGTTGAGAGGATGATGTGGTCAGTATCATGATTTCATTTGGTATTGAGAAGATGATGTGGTCAGTATCATGATTTCGTTTGGTATTGAGAGGATGATGTGGTCAACATCAAGCCTTTTGTTTTGTGTTGAGAGGATGATGTGGTCAGTATCATGATTTCATTTGGTATTGAGAGGATGATGTGGTCAGTATCATGATTTCGTTTGGTATTGAGAGGATGATGTGGTCAGTATCATAATTTCGTTTGGTATTGAGAAGATGATGTGGTCAGTATCATGATTTCGTTTGGTATTGAGAAGATGATGTGGTCAGTATCATGATTTCGTTTGGTATTGAGAAGATGATGTGGTCAGTATCATGATTTCGTTTGGTATTGAGAAGATGATGTGGTCAGTATCATGATTTCGTTTGGTATTGAGAAGATGATGTGGTCAACATCATGCCTTTCGTTTGGTATTGAGAAGATGATGTGGTCAGTATCATGATTTCGTTTGGTATTGAGAAGATGATGTGGTCAATATCATGATTTCGTTTGGTATTGAGAAGATGATGTGGTCAGTATCATGCCTTTTGTTTTGTATTGAGAGGATGATGTGGTCAACATCAAGCCTTTTGTTTTGTGTTGAGAGGATAATGTGGTCAGTATCATGATTTCATTTGGTATTGAGAGGATGATGTGGTCAGTATCATGATTTCGTTTGGTATTGAGAGGATGATGTGGTCAGTATCATGATTTCGTTTGGTATTGAGAGGATGATGTGGTCAGTATCATGATTTCGTTTGGTACTGAGAAGATGATGTGGTCAACATCATGCCTTTTGTTTGGTATTGAGAAGATGTTGTGGTCAGTATCATGATTTCATTTGGTATTGAGAAGATGATGTGGTCAGTATCATGCCTTTTGTTTTGTGTTGAGAGGATGATGTGGTCAGTATCATGATTTCGTTTGGTATTGAGAAGATGATGTGGTCAGTATCATGATTTTGTTTGGTATTGAGAAGATGATGTGGTCAGTATCATGATTTCGTTTGGTATTGAGAAGATGATGTGGTCAGTATCATGATTTCGTTTGGTATTGAGAAGATGATGTGGTCAGTATCATGATTTCATTTGGTATTGAGAAGATGATGTGGTCAGTATCATGATTTTGTTTGGTATTGAGAAGATGATGTGGTCAGTATCATGATTTCGTTTGGTATTGAGAAGATGATGTGGTCAGTATCATGATTTTGTTTGGTATTGAGAGGATGATGTGGTCAGTATCATGATTTCGTTTGGTACTGAGAAGATGATGTGGTCAACATCGTGCCTTTTGTTTGGTATTGAGAAGATGTTGTGGTCAGTATCATGATTTCGTTTGGTATTGAGAAGATGATGTGGTCAGTATCATGCCTTTTGTTTTGTGTTGAGAGGATGATGTGGTCAGTATCATGATTTCGTTTGGTATTGAGAAGATGATGTGGTCAGTATCATGATTTCGTTTGGTATTGAGAGGATGATGTGGTCAACATCAAGCCTTTTGTTTTGTGTTGAGAGGATGATGTGGTCAGTATCATGATTTCATTTGGTATTGAGAGGATGATGTGGTCAGTATCATGATTTCGTTTGGTATTGAGAGGATGATGTGGTCAGTATCATGATTTCGTTTGGTATTGAGAAGATGATGTGGTCAGTATCATGATTTCGTTTGGTATTGAGAAGATGATGTGGTCAGTATCATGATTTCGTTTGGTATTGAGAAGATGATGTGGTCAGTATCATGATTTCGTTTGGTATTGAGAAGATGATGTGGTCAGTATCATGATTTTGTTTGGTATTGAGAAGATGATGTGGTCAGTATCATGATTTCGTTTGGTATTGAGAGGATGATGTGGTCAGTATCATGATTTCGTTTGGTATTGAGAAGATGATGTGGTCAGTATCATGATTTCGTTTGGTATTGAGAAGATGATGTGGTCAGTATCATGATTTCGTTTGGTATTGAGAGGATGATGTGGTCAGTATCATGCCTTTTGTTTTGTGTTGAGAGGATGATGTGGTCAGTATCATGATTTCGTTTGGTATTGAGAAGATGATGTGGTCAGTATCATGATTTCGTTTGGTATTGAGAGGATGATGTGGTCAACATCAAGCCTTTCATTTTGTATTGAGAGGATGATGTGGTCAACATCATGTCTTTCATTTTGTATTGAGAGGATGATGTGGTCAACATCATGCCTTTCATTTTGTATTGAGAGGATGATGTGGTCAACATCATGTCTTTCATTTTGTATTGAGAGGATGATGTGGTCAACATCATGTCTTTCATTTTGTATTGAGAGGATGATGTGGTCAACATCATGTCTTTCATTTTGTATTGAGAGGATGATGTGGTCAACATCATGCCTTTCATTTTGTATTGAGAGGATGATGTGGTCAACATCATGTCTTTTGTTTGGTATTGAGAGGATGATGTGGTCAACATCATGCCTTTCATTTTGTATTGAGAGGATGATGTGGTCAACATCATGTCTTTTGTTTGGTATTGAGAGGATGATGTGGTCAACATCATGCCTTTTGTTTGGTATTGAGAGGATGATGTGGTCAACATCAAGCCTTTTGTTT